AGGATGTAATGAAGTCTCTTGGATGCCTAATCTGGACTGAAATCACTTATGTTATCTTAGGCTTTGCTGGAGTTTTCTCTGTATAATCAAAGTTTGCTCATAGAGGACGTTTCATTTCCAGTTTTTAATCATCCAATTTCCAAAAATCCAGCACAGGCAACTGTCCACACTTTGAGTCATGTCTGTGCCGAATCATGTAAATGCCTCAGTTCACCTCAGAAAACCGTGCCAGTTGTATAACTGCAGGAAGAAATCTGTGTTCGAGTGCCGTAGGGACTTCACATCCTCCTTCCTACACCACTTTAACATCCACTCTTGATCCTTCAGGGGCCAAGATTATTTTTGTTTTCAGGTTAGACAAAGTCACTTATCTAAAAAAGGCAAAATAGCTTACAACATCATGGCCTCTTTGGCCTTGTAACAATAATGTCATGTCAAGATACAAGTGAGCCTCATATGGTGTAAAAGTTCATTTATGTATATCAACTTAAGCCTAATTTATACTTCCCCATCTGCATTGGTGCGGAGGCACGCATCGCCTTTAACTGTCCTTTTGAGGGCTCTCCAGCAGGCTCGCAAGGACAAACAGAATCGAGCTCTTTTTTCTAAACGTCCGTCCAACGAGATGGAGAACGCAAGCGTGTGATTGGTCAGGACGCCGCTGTCGTCAACAGCACCGCCATTGCGCCCTCAAAAAGATAAAGAAAGCCAACGATATCTACCGACAGATACAGAGCAGCTTGAAGAATACCTCGTGGAAAAACAAACCAAATAAATGAACGTTTATTGGTGAGCTGATGAAAAAGTGGAGGAGAACGAGAGACAAATTTGTCCATAATTAAAATCTTAAAAACAAGGAAAACCACAAGATAAACACACTATCTTGGACCGGATACGTGACAGGTGCCTCAGAACAGCACTACGCCCTCTGTTGAACCCCAAACTAGTAATCCGGGGCCAGAAATGCGTCGGAGTTTCTCAATCTAAACGAGTTGTCAACGAACGTGTGCGCACTCGCTCATGCACACAAACACACACTCACAGTAGACTTACCACCCAGGAGGAGAGCAGACACAGATTCGGCAGCATTCTGGAGGATTTCCTGTTACCACCATCATAAAAAAGGGGAGGAGGGCTTTTTTTATTTCAAGGAAGCTGCACTAAACTGCCACGTAATGATTATGCATGTCTACAGCACTTTTAGACAGGTTATAAGCAAAAAATAAATAAAAGTTGCTTTCCCTCGTTCCTATTCATTTTCTCCTTTCCCTTTCTGGTAACACATTCCAATAAGGGTTCCTTTATTAACATTACTTAGTGCATTATTACACAAAGGATCCCTTTATTAACATTCCCAATATTGTTAACTACTAAGTGTCATTAAGGTTAGAACAAAGGGTCAGGGGTGTGTCTCTGCTTAGTAATGCATTACTTAATACTAACATTGATATTAAGCAGGTGTTAATACTTTATTTAAGAGTGTATTACTGTATACTAATGCCCTAAGTAACGTTAACAAAGGAAACCTTATTGTTAGGTGTTACCCCCTTTCCTTACATTTTTAAATCATTTTTATATTTTAAAAGTTTGTTCTTGTGAAGCACGTCATGATTTTTAACGTGAGAGGTGCTAAACGATTGCTTTCTGTCTGTCTGTCTTTCTTCCTCTCTTAATTATTCTCATTTTTGAATAATCTTGGCTGAATTATGTTTATAAAGGGCAAGCAGGACTCAACCTCCAGTAGTCAAGACTTTATTCAGGCTGTTGATGGCATTACTGACCATCATTAAAGTAATTCATAAAGGATAATCCCTGTAATCTCCTGGCCTGCTAATGCTCTTCTTTAAGCACCCAAACTGGTCTTAATGCTTCAAAATAAGAGAAAAGTGTGTATTAGTTATATTTTCAATCCAGTTAGTTATGTCTAGTTAACTGGTGATCAGGAATCATACCAAAAGTAGGAGTGGTGGAACAGAAAACACAACCTGACACTGTCAACTGTTTCTGTAATTTTGTTAGCATGAGTGAAGGAGTGTGGAGAGAAAGCCAGACCGTTATTGATGTTAGAGAGAAAATGTAGGTTGGATTTACTGAAATCTATACTCAGTGAACTGCAACAAGCTGAAAAACACACAACAAGGAAGAAACTGCTGCAAGTGGGTATTTGTGTTTTTTATTGTATTTGAACTTTGCACTTTAGAATTCGGTTGGTAAAAGAGGTATGGGAATCCAGTGATGTTTGTTTATTTATTATTTATTTATTAAGACAACTTAAAAACAAGATGAGGGATTGATGAGGACTATGTCACTGGTGTCATATGTGTAACTAACCAAGTAAAATTTTAAGCCGTGTTTAATTAGTTCATGTTTAATATATCTAAAATGTTCCAATTTTGAGTCCTGTACCTAAAAAAAGGTGTGCTTGTTTTAGATCCTTCTCCAACATTCCTGATGCTAATGACAGAACTATGCCTGTGCTGTCCTCATTACAATGGCTCTCTGTGGCTTACCGGGCAAAGTTTAAAGTCTTGTTCGTCTTCCGGTCCCTCCATGGTAGCGTCCCGCATGGATGTAGTATTTTTTTTTCCCCACACACTTTTTGCCATTCAAAAACAATATTATGCTATAGGAGTAGGAATAAAAACAACTAACAAGGTGAAAAACAAAGTTCAATTGAAAGCATGTAGAGTTTTGGTTTACTGCCACCTGAGTACTTGACAGTTCTGCATTCCTGACATTGCATAAAAGAGCCTGTGGTTTTATACACATTTCTTGTAGTCGTGGCCAAACCTTTTGAGAATGACACAATTTTTTTTTCACAAAGTTTGCTGCTAAACCACTTTTAGATCTGTTTCAGCTGTTTCTGTGAGGTACTGAAACGATTACAAGCCCTTATGTTTCTAAGGCTTTTATCAACAATTGCATGACATTTATGCAAGGAGTCAGATTTGCAGTGTTGGCCCGTTTCTAGGACCTCTGCAATTCGACTGGGCATGCTCTCAGTCAACTTCTGGGCCAAATCCTCACTGATAGCAGATAACCACTTCTTGGAGTTAGTCAGAATTTGTGGGTTTTTGTTTGTCCACCCGCCTCTTGTGGATTGACCACAAGTCCTCAATGGGTTTAAGATCTAGAGAGTTTCCAGGTCACAAACCCAAAATTTCAACGTTTTGGTCCCCGAGCCACTGAGCTATCACTTTTGCCTTATGGCACGGTGCTCCATCATGCTGGAAAATGCATTGATCTTCACCAAACTGTTGTTGGATTGATGGAAGAAGTTGAGGTCGGAGGGTGTTTTGGTACCATTCTTTATTCATGGCAGCGTTTTTGGGCTAAATTGGGAGTGAACCCACTCGCTTGGATGAGAAGCAACCCCACACATGAATGGTCTCAGGATGCTTTACTGTTGACATGACACAAGACTGATGGTAGCACTCACCTTTTCTTCTATGGACAAGCCTCTTTCCAGATGCCCCAAACAACCAGAAAGGGGCTTCATCGGAGAATATGACTTTGCCCTAGTCCTTGTTAAGAGACGATTCTGGCGCTTGCTGGACTTTCTTGGACATCTTGAAGCCTTAACAAGAATTGATCCTCTTTCTTTGAAGTTCTTGATGATACTCTAAATTGTTGATTTAGGTGCAATCTTAGTAGCCACAATAGCCTGTGAAGCCATTTTATGCAACACAATTATGGCTGCACGCATTTCTTTGCAACAATAATTCTAAGCATCACCCTTCTTTTAACATGTCAAGTCTGCCATTCTAACCCAATCAGCCTGAAATAATGATCTCCAGCCTTGTGCTCATCAACATTCTCATCTGAGTTAACAAGACGATTGATCTCAGCAGGTCCTTTAATGACAGCAAAAAACTGCAGTGGAAAGTTTATTTTTTTGGGATGAAGTTAATTTCCATGGGAAAGAAGGACTATGCAATTCATGGGATCGCTCTTCATAACATTCTGGAGTATATGCAAACTGCTATTATAAAAGCTTAGGCAGCAACTTTTCCAATTTCCCATATTTGTGTCATTCTCAACACTTTTGGCCACGACCGTGTACTTACTGTAAAGATCCAACCCCCAAGATTAACACTGCTCATTTTACTGTGTACACTCGACTGGTCAAGAATTACTAAAAGTCCCACGAACAAGGTTCAAGACTGGAGGTGATCGGGCCTTTGCTGTCCTGGCTCCTACACTCTGGAACGAGCTCCTGCTTGTTATCAGTCACCATTACGGCAGGTCTTCAAGAGTCGCTTTAAGACTCTTTTTTTATCATTTGGCTTTTAAGTAATAGAGTTTGTTGACTTTCAGTCTTCTCTGTTTTATCATTTTAGTCATTTTTACATTCTGCTCTTGTGTGTTTTATTGTTCTCTGCTCTTTTATTATTTTATGACATGTTCAGCGCCTTGGGCTTCCGTAAAGGCAGTGGAAGGCGTTATACAAATAAAATTTGACTGATTTGATATGTGTTGAAGATGTACAGAAACCTGTTGATGATGTGTTGATTTAAACCAGGTGATGTAAAGCAGAGAAACACCTAAAACATGCCAGGCTATGAGTCCTGAAGACTAGAAATAAGAAGCACTGATGGGAATTACAGCTCTTCCCGGCCCTCTAAGTGGTTCCTGCTGGCAGACCTAAGAGTCGGCTCCTTTGGCTTCCTCCTTTAGAACTATTCATGTGTCACTGAAAACCGACTAGACTAGTAGACATGTATTTTTTTTCAATTCCAGGATTAGATCAAGGGGTATGTCTTTCATACATGGTGCATGTTGGTGGCGCTGTTGTCTCGCAGCAAGAAGGTTGTATGATCAAATCCCAGTTGCCACGTTTGTTTGGAATTAGCATATTTTCCCCATGCACGCATGGAGTTTCCTCTGGTTTCCTATTACTGTCCAATGCATTTTAAGCTGATTAAACACTAAACTGTCATTAAATGTGAGTGAGAGAGTGAGTGACCCATTGTTTCTGTGTGGCCCAACAACTGACTGACGACCAGTCCAGGCTGATGACCTCTGGATCAGGCACCAGTTCCCTGTGACCTTTCTGAGGATTAAGAGGTCAGTGACCGTGTACAAATGTTTTAACTGATGTTTTGACACAAAAATGTTTCTAACAAAGTCAGCACACTGATGTAAAGGAAGTAAAACATGGATCTGGGACTTGATGCTATTTATAAAAATGAGATCAGTGCCCTTTCAGGCTAGATAGTGTTACAGGCTTGAGAAAATGAAACTAAATGAAATTGTTATGATTTACCATTTAAGTGCTGTGCTATATGAGGGGAACAGCTAGAGACAGGAACCGTGGCTGAGAGCCCGAATCAGGCTTTGCTCATAAATGAACATTTAAATGTGAGATTAACCCTCCCACTGTCTTTATGGGTGACCCCGCGAGGAAAGTTGACCATTGAGCAGGATTGATGGTTTACCCCTTGAGGTCCACGTGGCAGGGGTGAGGTGGTGCTCACTCCTGCCACGTGGACCCAAGGGATAAACCATCAACCCTGCTCATTGGTCAACTTTCTTCATGGGATCACACCCATTAGAACAGTGGGAGGGTTTTAACCACAATCAGCCACTTATTTGTAAAAGGTGACACTTGGCAACAAGAAAACATTAAACTCCAGTTAAAATATCATAATTACAAGTAAAGTTGTAAACACCCAAATGATTGAAAAATTGGAGTTTTCGATTTTCTAATCTATTTTTGCTCACAAAAGTGAATTTGTAACATTTGGCATCTCTTTTGACTCAGGCACAGTTACAGGTTTGAGCGATTTCCAGTGTAAAATATTCAGCAGGCTGATGATGTCGATGCATACAAGTATCTTTGGTCTAACCCTGAGGCTTGATTATAGCTTTGGTGAACTGCGGCTGCCAGCTATCATGACAAGTAAAAAGCTGCGGCTGCCAGCTTTCATGACAAGTAAAAAGCAGCTCAAAAGTGATATTCAAACTGTGACAGAAACTTGAGCGCCAAAGGGAAAACTATGCATTATGTCAGTAAAAAAAATCCTGAAATATGAGCCAGTGGTGGTGGGAATATGTGGAGACTTTCAGAAGACAACAACAAAAAAAAAAAAAAAACTGAAGTTTGGGGCAATTGGAAACATGAGGATGATGTGTAAGGATGTAGTCTCCTTACTAAGCATCAATTTGCCTCCACCCACTAAAAAGCACCACGTGGGCATAAAGTGAATTATTGTAAGATGCATCCTTCTGTTAGGTGTAGCTCTCCAGTCAGGGCTCTGTTTCTGCATGAATGGTTAGCTGATGCTGTTGGACTTAAATTAACCCGGGTAAGAGAAACAAACTACTTATTTACCTTTAGACTTGATTTTTACTACTATTTTCAATTTACTGGTCATTTTTATTAAATTATTTTGAAAATGTCTATGTAAATATTTCCATTCAAATACAATCTAAAGTAGCTAATTATCATATGTTCTTACTGTGTCTGGTTTCTAATTCCATTTTTGGTTCTTTTTGAAAAATAGGAAAGGTTTCTCTTTACCTTGCTGACAGTTTCGTTTGCCGACTGCAAAACATCCTCAGAGTTGACGCTGATGGTGGTGTCACTTTCTACTCCATTTATCTTGTAGCTAATTAGCCAACATAATGGAGTATTAATCATTTAAAGTAATTCACAGTGGACTGAAAGCTACAGTTGATATCTGTCACATGAAACAAACCGACGGGTCTAAATGGTTAACGGATTGTATTTGATATAGCGCCTTCCAGGGTTCCATAACCCCCCAATCGCAAACAGGTCCTAGGTGAGGGATCAGACAAAGAGCAGCCGGAAGACCTCTTATGATGAATTATATAAATGGAAACCATGTTCCCTCGTCCGGACGTGGGTCACCGGTGCCCCCCTCAGGAGCCAGGCCTGGAGGTGGGGAACGTTGGCGAGCGCCTGGTGGCCGGGCTTTCACCCATGGAGCCCGGCCGGGCACAGCCCGAAAAGGAAACGTGGGTCCCCCTTCCCATGGGCTCACCACTCGTGGGATGGGCCAAAGGGGTCGGGTGCAGTGTGTGACGGGTGGTAGTCGAGGGCGGGGACCTTGGCGGTCTGATCCTCAGCTACAGAAGCTGGCTCTTGGGACACGGAATATCACCCCTCTGGTGGGGAAGGAGCCTGAGTTGGTGTGTGAGGTTGAGAGGTTCAGACTACATATAGTCGGACTCACCTCAACGCATGGCTCTGGCTCAGACTCAAGCTCAGGAGGAGCAATGTGGTTTTCGTCCTGGCCGTGGAACACTGGACCAGGTCTATACCCTTAGGGGGATCCTGGAGGGTGCATGGGAATTTGCTCAACCAGTCTACATGTGTTTGGTGGATTTGGGGAAGGCGTTTGACCGCATCCCTTGGGGGGCCCTGTGGGGGGTACTCCGGCAGTATGGGGTACCAGGCCCTCTGATACGGGCTGTTAGGTCCCTGTATGACCGGTGTCAGAGCTTGGTCCGCATTACAGACAGTAAGTCAGGCTCGTTTCCAGTGAGAGTTGGACTCCGCCAAGGCTGCCCTTTGTCACCGATTCTGTTCATTACCTTTATGGACAGGATTTCTAGGTGCAGCCAAGGTGTGGAGGGCATCTGTTTTGGTGGCCTGAGGATCAGGTCTCTGCTTTTTGCAGATGATGTGGTCCTGTTGGCTTCATCAGAACGTGATCTTCAGCTTTCGCTGGAGCGGTTCGCATTCCAGTGTGAAGCAGCTGGGATGAGAATCAGCTCCTCTAAATCTGAGATCATGGTCTTAATTCGGAAAAGGGTAGAATGCCTTCTCCGGGTCAGGGATGAGGTCCTGCCTCACGTGGAGGAGTTTAAGTATCTCGGGGTCTTGTTCACGAGTGAGGAAAAACTGGAGCGTGAGATTGATAGGCGGATTGGTGCTGTATCTGCAGTGATGCGGGCGTTGTACCAGTCTGTCGTAGTGAAGAGAGAGCTGAGTCAGAAGGCAAAGCTCTCGATTTACCGGTCGATCTACGTTCCTACCCTCACCTATGGTCATGAGCTTTGGGTAGTGACCGAAAGAACGAGATTGTGGATACAAGCGGCCGAAATGAGTTTTCTCCGAAGAGTGGCTGGGCTCTCCCTTAGAGATAGGGTGAGAAGCTCAGTCATCCGGGAGGGGCTCGGAGTAGACCCGCTGCTCCTCCACATCGAGACGAGTCAGTTGAGGTGGCTTGGGCATCTAGTCAGGATGCCTCCTGGACGCCTCCCTGGTGAGGTTTTCCGGGCACGTCCAACCTGGAGGAGACCTAAAGGTAGACCCAGGACACGGTTGAGGGACTACATCTCTCACCTGGCCGGGGAACGCCTTGGGATTCCCCCGGAGGAGCTGGCCCAAGTGGCTTGGGAGAGGGAAGTCTGGGCCTCTTGCCTTAGGCTACTGCCCCGCGAGCCGACTCTGTATAAGCGGATGAAAATGGATGGATGGATGGATGAAGATATTTTTTTGCTGCTATTTGTGTAAAGTTACTGTTAAGTTTCAATAGCTGCAGCCCTGTTGTCCTCTCACTTCTTGTGTTGGGGGCTTAACGCTGCATTGGCAAATATGGAAATCAAGTTAGCTTAAAACAGTTTTTTGTGATGCCGTTTACCACATTCTAACATAGTATAGCTAAAAATACATAGTGGAGATGAAATAAACAAATGTATGAAGTGGTTTTCTCACATTTGTCTAAAAACCTTTGCCAGTAACATTGCTAGGACCCAAAGCAACCATTGGACCATCCGGCTGTTGGTTTTGCTGAACTTCTGCACTTCCCTGGAGGATATTCATCACACTCTCACGCATTTTGCAACAGAACACCACTGGTGTGAGAGGTTCTCCAATTAATAATACCAGAGAAGGAGAAACAGCCAGCTGCTACCAATTCACCTTTAGGACAAACTACCAGAGTCCCAAAAAGAAAAACGTCATTTGAAGTTGAGGACAATTAGATGTTTGAACCTAGAATATAGCGACTGGTGTTTAGCGCCATCTTGTTTCCTTTGGCAATGCAGGATTCCAGTTCGGTGGATATAGGGAGCCTAAGTCACACTCAACTACTTCTGGACTTGGGTCCCCGGAAGAATGAAAAAATGAATGCAAGTCAGCGGGGCCAAAAATGTGATTTTCTAACTCCACTTGTTATGTGCCATGGATTTCACATATGATGTCCGTGAATTTTAAAGACACATTTTGACACCAAGAACATGCTTATTTTCGAGCAGGGGGAAACATTATTATTTTTTGTGTGAAAATAAATCCAGGACTACAAATGTCCTTCACGAACGTGACGTGATCGAACCAGACACAGAGAAAACTGAGGGAAAATGGCTGTAAGTTCAGCAAACAAAATCCTTCCTTCAGGAGGAAAAAAGACACCATAAATCTGGTCATGTGGTAAGTAGCAGCTAAGCTAGGGGAGAGGGGATTCTGTGGTGACGTCATATATGTGACGTGCTGATGTCTGCTAATTCCAAATTTTTACAAGCTAATTAATCTCAAAGTACGTGACAGGCATGGTCGAGAACGCCCATCATTAGGTTTCATTTAAATTGCAGTACACCATAAGTGAGATCCAAGGCGTAAGGCAAAGCGGATTAGAAAATAACACTTTTAGTCCCATTGGCTTGCATTCTTTTTTCTTTCTTCCGGGGACCCATGAGCCGACCTAAAGGAGACTTAGGCTCCCTTTGATACTCGAGGGGAGGGGTGAGTCTTCCGTGGCTACGTTTGTTTTCAAAAGCTAGCTTGTTTGCAGATTTGTCATTGTGGCTCTAATCTACACACACAAGCAACAATTTGATTATTCAGCTACATAAATAAAATAAGTTCTATCTGACATGCTCTAGTAAAGTAACTGAATTACTTTCAGCTTTTTCAATATAGGAAGTTTTACCAAATACCTTTATAATTATGTACGCATCGAGTTCGAGGTCATATAATTATTTTGGTATGTTGTTCTCAAAACTGAGAGGCCATAGGCATCCGACTTTGCTGTTGACTGCATGAAAGATAGCAAGCTTTCATTTATGATTTATATTGTACCAAATCCAGTAAAACAGCTGCACATTCCACAGAGCCTGCTTCACAGAGACAAGGTTTCTAACCACATGACTGACTGAGTGAATGTCAGCATGACAGAGGGAGAGAGAGCAGGATGGTCTGAGTGAAAGGAGCAATATAACGAGTATCAGTTACATCATGAAAGAAGCTTAAGTTTTAAGGTCCAGACTAGTCACCAGTTCTCAATCAGAATGCTGAGATCACAAAAATGCACCTGATGATGTTGTTGTGACCTTCTGTTGCACTTTTAAGCAACAGAATGAAGCAGCTGATCTCACAGTGAAAAATGTAATCTACTTTGTAAAACCCAATTTCTGAAGAATAACAGACTTTTTGTACAAAGGTAGATAAGGTTTGTCAGTAAGCAGCCAAACGGAAGCGTCTCCAAGCGCCATCTCAAAGACAGCATATGTCCTAACAGCTTGGCCTAATGTATGCAGGGTCCTGCTTCCCCCGGCTCTGAGGTGAAACGTGCTGCGGAAACCGGCGGCAGACAGACAGCACTTGGCATGTTCAGCGGGGGTGGGGACGGCTCCTTTCAGGCCATGCCAAGACTTGGCATCACCTCTCCAACACAGGGATAATGGTGGGGGCTTTAGCAGACCTTCAACCCGTCACCCTGCTATCCAGTCAACCTGTTAATAAATACAGATTTCTGGATGAACAAAATTACTTGAGAAAGGAAGTTTTCCCTATGTTCCAACTAGAACCAGAAGCACACAGTAAGTTGGCTCATGTAAAACAACCACCTGTTCTCCTTATTGTTCGGCTTGTAGCTTTTTGGTTGAAATGTACATATTTCAGAGCTGTGTCTTTTTTTCTGAGGCTACTCTTGAAAAGAAATAAAAGATGAGAGCTGCAACCTGTTTGATTTCCTGTCCTCTGTTGCAGATCCTGGTCCAGTTACTGCTTAATGAGCAAGGCAGCCAACGTCAAAGTCATATGTCAGAATCAGAGTGACGCAGGTGTCAGTTCAAGTCTGCCTTTTCCACGAAGCGCTGCGCCTCTCCCAAAGATGGATCCCAAACAGCAGGATTGCACCGTGCAGCACCAGCATGCAGCTAAACGACAACCTGCGTTGTCCTCGCCCTCGGTTTCCTCGGGCCCTGCAGACCTGCTGGGAGGTAATGTCATAAAAACAAAGCTGCTGCAGAAAAAGCCCATGTTTTCATACAGAGGCCCAGCAGCTACAGAGCGGACTGATGGGACTTGCTCGGCATACAGCAGCCCTCAGATTCCAAAAAGGGAGTTTCCTCGTTCTAAAGACACGTTAGACCTCCACAATGGCTCCCTAACTCAAAAGGCTTTCAGAGACCTGCAGTTAAGGAGAAACGGCAACAAGAACTGGACCTTTGGGAAGTATCGACTCAGGAGTGTTGATAATGAACAAGAAGGCGACGCTTTGCGAAACATCTCAGCTGATGTCCAGCCAGGCCACAGACGAGCTCATCTTCTTTATACTAAAGGGACAAATGGGAATGATGCATCACGGCTGTCCTCGGCTGGACTGGATCACCTCCACAAAGAAGCGAGCAACAGCTCAAATCAGGATCTTGGAACTTCAGTTGGAGAGATGCTCATCAACAAACCAAAGGGTTCGTCTGAGGCTTTGAGCGTGAAACGCAGGGGGAGTGAGCCAGGGAGAGTTAACATGGCTGCTGTGGCTCCATTTAAGTTCAGGTGAGGGAAGCAATTCACCTTCTGAGAGGAAAAGATAAAAAAAGGAGACAGAATCTCTGATTGTTACGATGAACAGATAAAAATTCTTCCATTGGATGTTAAATCTTTATTTTTACCATAACTTATATTTTTTGTATGTTTCTCAGGTTTCAGGTCAGTGAAGACACAGATGTAACCCTTGATGACCTGAGCGACTGCTCCTCGGACTCCATGGAGGTCTGTTGTGATGATTTAGGTTAGTCTGCTTCCTCTGATCTTAACAGTTAGGAAGCATTGGGTTTGCCTGAAGCTGTAAATCACTCAGGTCCTAATCTTGGATCTCGACCTTCTAAAATGTTACAGGATCAGTTTCTGTGCTCGTAGACCTTTAAGTTTTGGCAAGTGTGTGCTATTACTCAGGATTTTCTTTAAATCAACCTGAAAAAGAAGCAGAAATCATTATTTGGCTGACTTTGGTCCCACACTTGTGTACCATGAAGGTGAAAAGATTTATACTGTGAAATAATCGCAAAACAGTCAGTTCATTAAAACTACAATAGCAAAGCTAAACAGGCTAGCTTAAGACATTGTTCTTGTCTCTTAACTATGTTGTAACACAGTATAGCTAATAATTATTAATGTTTCTCTTGCACTTGTCTAAAAACCTCTGCCATCCGGTTGTCGGTCTTGACAAATCATACTTCTCTAGGTCCTCCACTCATCACACACTCACATCTTTAGCAACAGAACACCACTGGTGTGGGAGGTTCTCCCCTCAATAATACAAGAGAAGGTGAAACAGCCGGCTGCTACCAGTTCACCTTCAGGACAAACTACCAGAGTCCCAAAAAGAAAAACACCTTTTGAAGTAACGGAAAACAAAAGTCGTTGGAAGCTGAGGCGAAGAAGAAAGATCTGGGGCTTAACACACACACATGTGCACACACACGTGACATGCACTAGTCAACATATATATTTGTCTTGTACCACATAATTTTTAATCTGAAGCTACATATTAAGCATATTCAGGGCAGAGTATTGTTCCTGTTAGTGTTTAGTGTGAGATTATAGTAAATATTCCCTTTCTTTCTCCATCAACTTTACCTGATAGTAAGCTAACTTTAGGCAAACCAGCAGCGCAACAAATATTTTCAAATAAGACTCGCAAACCTGAGTCAACACCAGTCTCATCAAAGCTGGGGTTCTGTCGTTGTACTTTTGGTCTAAAAAAGGTCCTTATGTCCATCTTCACTCATGCGTTTCAGGCAGAGTGTAGAAAAAACCAGGCACTGCAGAAGAAGCCGGCTGCTGAAGGGCTTCTGCTTCAGTGGTGGAGGCTCAGGCAGGCTGTATACAAACTACTGCTAACTGCGCCCTCTCTGTTGGACTTTGGTACTGCATGTTACTTCCACGTTTGAGATCCGGGGCTTTTCATTAAAGATTCAGGGCTTGAGCCAAGTAGCCGGGCCTAACGCCGCCCCTGGTTGGGAGCTAGAAAACGGCGACTGGTGTTTAGCGCTCTCTCGTTGGCCTGACAATGTAGGTTCTGGCATCAGGCGGACGTGGCCCAGTGACGATACTAGAGTGGTGGGAGATCCATGACAGTGCTTGTGTTTAAAAGCTAGCTTGTTCTGCAGATTTACTGTTGCAGTTTTAAAGAAGGACCACCCAAGTTGAAGGTTGAATATGAAACACAAACACAGGTTGTAGTTGCAACAATGGAACAAGGTTTCCAGCCGTCAGAATTCCCGGTTCGCTGCCGATACGTGAACGTTTTTATTTGGGTCCATCTGTTGTAGGCTTCACCTAAACTCAGTCTGGTTTTAGATCTTTTGTGGTCGTTCCTCTTCTGAGAAGGATAATGACATCTTCTGGGCTCAGAAGCAGCTGCCCCCTATTGGCTGGTGGATGTAAACACAAAGCTGGTGTACCGCCAAAATAAATATTTGATTCGCTTTTTAATTAAATTATAGCTTTTAAAAGAAATACTGTACCTTCATTCTGCATACCTCTGAACGCCACATGGAAGTATTATATTCAAAAAAGATATATTTTATTTTTTTAAGTGTTCCCAAATTCACCCTTTAGCTATTTTTTTTCTCAGAAATCCCCCAGCATGTGTATGAATGAGTGATAGAAAGCTTCCCAACTTCCCTGACTTTCTCCTCCTTCCTGCCTTCATCCTTAAGGAGTCTATAAACTCTCAACAAAAACACTTTTTACACACTTCACTGAGCTCAGCCGCGTGTTGTTGGAGAACACAGTTTTTCCATTTGGGTTTTATTACATCCTGTAACACCCAAGCTTTTATAAGGCTGTCTGCTAACTGCTCAGTGCTTCAGTGTTTTTCTCACCAAGTGTTCCTCCAGCACATAGCTCCACAATGCATGAGCCACCTGTTATGTACATCATGCATTCTTGCAATAAGCCTTCATGCACTTGAGGGAAAACAGACTGTTGGCCAAAAAAAAAAAGAGAAGCACAACCTCTTTTTGAGTGTTTTTATGAGTCTGAACTGTGTGAAATATTCCTCTTTTAATATTATTGTCCTAATAAAACACATAAAACTGACTAATTACAGATTTTAGAACAAAAGGAGCTTGCCTTGGTCAGCATTTTATTGCTTTCAATGGGCAACGGGAGAATCTTTAAATCAAAGTGTTTCATTGTTAGTGGACACAACCTTGACAGCTCAATCAATTAAGCCTAATTAGAGAGAGATTACATGATGATGGCCTGACTGTAAACAAGTGAGATTGATTTGGGTTTAGATATACTACGAATTAGTGTCTAAAGGTGTGGTTCACTGAAATTTTTTTTTCATTTATTAGTTCTGGTTATATTGGGTATATTGATATATTAAATCAGTTTTTCATTCAGGCTGAATGTGAAAATAGTCTCCTACACCTATCTCCTGCATTAGCTTCTGATAGAAAATAGATGGTGAAACTCTAGGAGTAGAAAATCCTGACAGATCTACGTCACAATGTCACTTAACATGCATGGACTCACCCATCTTAGGCATTCATTCCTACTAGAGACCACTGCAAATGTATTGATTAAACAAGAGACCCACACCTTTAAGCTTTAACACTGGGCTGCCAACTCTCATGCAATAAACAAGAGGCACACTTTGACCCTGTTCACACGCTCTCATTGCAAACATGCAAAATGTCACGTGCCCGCTTATGATTTATTTGTTTATTTTTATTGTGCTATACAAAAAAACTTTTCTTGCTTACTGCTAACTGCACTTCTGGCTTGGGAAGGGGGACTTATCACCAGAATTTCATTGCAAAAAGTGCAAATGCAAGGCAACAAAAAAAACACAAACACGTCTAAACAACAATGTTTGTTTTGTTGCTAAAAGGCAAAAAAATCAAACAAAAGAAGTATACGAGCTAAAATTAACCATTTTGAGTTAAGTTGAAACAGTTAACTAAAACCCAGGACACGTTGGAGAGGTTACGTCTCCAATCTGGTCCGGGAACACCTTGGGGTCCTGCCGGAGGAGCTGGTGGAGGTGGCCGGGGAGAGGACGGTCTGGAGCTCCCTAGTTGGGATGCTGCCCCCGCGATCCCGGATAAGCGGAGGAAGACGACGACGACAGTTAACTAAAACAACAGGTTCATTCTGTCTATATAAATGAAACAGAATGCAAATAAATGCTGAATAAAACTGCCATTAATCCTCATTGTGCTTAAACCGTTCTAACAGCACATGCATAATTTTGGTCTTTGTGGTTTTTCCCCACAGAGCACAAGTGGAGGTCTCCTAAATGTTAGAGCCCATTGCGTCATAGCAGCTGATATAGCAGTTCAATAATGATTACACACTGACCAGGGGTCTGCACAGCAGACAGGTGTGTGTGTGTGTGTGTGTGTGTGTGTGTGTGTGTGTGTGTGTGTGTGTGTGTGTGTGTGTGTGTGCGTGCGTGCATGCATAAACTCACACAACCAAGTGACCAGCTGGAGAACATGATTCAAAACCAGAACTGAAAACATTTTAGAAAAATTCGGCTCCACCCTCTCTGTCCTGGGACCTGGCTGCAACTGAAAGTTATTAAACGCTCCAAAAAATACTATTAAAAATCACTCCATATGTCCTGTGCTTTAACGGAGCATTCTTTTACAGTGAAGTAATCACAAAAGACTCTAATGTCTCAATCATGTTGGAAGGAAGGCTTCATGAAACGGATTTCATTCTCGGGGGTAAAAAGAGGAACACAGCCACTGTTCTCATTGGGCTTGTGAGGTTGCCATGGCTTTGGCGAGCTAACTGCTTTGCTGGCGTTTGTAATTTGACACCAGCAGGCAAAAAGCTCCAAAAGCCAGTAAACAGGAGCGACCCCTGAGATGTCTTGGCATCCTTTAGTTTTACTCTAATATCGGGTGAAGCAGACTAGAGGCTAATGTTGAGCTAACAATGCTAATGGTGATTTAGAAGCAAAAAATTAGCTCAAAAATTGTCATGTCGTGCCAGGTCTTAGGTTCCCCAGGGGCTTGGTGTGAGTCCAGGGGATCCGAGAGGTCCAGGAGGGTGAACGGAGGGAGAGCGGGTCGGACAGAGAGACGAGAGGAGACATGGCCTGCTGTGATGTCTAGTAGGTTATGCCTTTGATGAGATAACGGAGAGAGCAAGATACCCAAAGTGAGTAATCATCCGGCAAGTTGAAGGCATCTCACTCCTCTCTTTATAGTCCTCCTGGGTGATGAAGTAACTAGCTGCAGCTGTCCCGCTCTCCAGCTCCGCCCACCTGCAAGTCAAACTCAGAATAGCTGCAAGAGAGGAGCTCACCTGCAGACTGTGACAAAAATATCTCAAGCTACTTTTTCAAGGGCCAACAACTCAATTCTGCAACGATGGCACAGGAGTTCAGTGCTCGCCTCATAATCGGAAGGTTGCAGGTTCAAGCCCCGCCCAGTCTGTTCCTGTCGTTGTGCCCCTGGGCAAGACAATTGCACATTGCCTGCATTTGGTGGTCAGAGGGACTGGAGGCGCCTGTGTACGGCAGACTCGCCCCAGAGCAACTGTGGCTACATTGTAGCTTATCACCAGGGTGTGTGTGAATGGGTGAATAACTGGTTGTGTTGTAAAGCGCCTTGGGGGGTTTCAGGACTCTAGAAGGTGCTATATCAAATACAGGCCATTTACCAATATTACAGTGAAATGTGTGTGAAGTGAATAATGAGTCATCTGTGGTGTTTTACTTCCTTTTAATGAGTTGTTCAGAACTTTAAAGACGGCAAACAACCA